GGGCTAAATTCACATTACGTGACGGGGGGTCCCCGGGGCGTTCCCAGACCAACCGACTGTATCTATTAGAAATGGCCGCTTTGCACATATTTTGCGTACTTTACATTAATTGCATTATCAGCATGTATTGGATGAAAATAAAATATTCCGGAAATCACTGTAGTTTTCAAACCTGCTTAGTGTCGCACACTATCAGTTGTCATTTGTATTTGTGAAATTGAGAAAAAAAAATGTATGTGAGATTGAAACATTTTTTAGAGAATTATTAAAAAAAATCTGTTTGAATCAGGCAAGTAATTTGTAATACTTACTATTCTCTGTTTTGTAGCCATCATTATTGGAAGCTTTATCTACATAAAGAAACGGTAAGTTTTCTGCATTGTCTGAGGTGCTCTTTGCTTATGTGATATCTTGGCTGTTGTTCTTACACTCTTATATTGGGTAAAAAATATTGTTTTGCATTCAGATTTATAAAACGGGTGGTTTTCCACAAATTTTCCATGGGAAATGGAGATGCCATGAGGTTAAGGTTTAATATACTCAGATATTTAGTCATGCACATGCAGACCATAACCAGACTTTTGGATTGCAGCTCAAAACTGTATTCTAAAAATATGCAGACTCTAGATTACCCATAATCCTGAAGAGATCTCTACCTTTCAAAAAAAAAAAAAGTACTGCCTCCATGAAGCATTCGGAATAATATAATAATTTTTTTTTCTTAAGTATTTTATTTTATATGTAGTTGTTCACTTGATATATGATATATTTGCATATATCTGAATATTTTGCAGTCAAATGTGTTGTTTTTATAATAGGTTAAAAATTACCCCCTATACCCTCATTCGCTATCTCCTAATTAGTCCACTAATGTAGTCTACTTGAAGGAAAAGGAGTGAATTTGAACACTTTGGGTGCTTTCCTTCTAGGGGGTAGAAGGGTTTTCTATGGAAGCTTGTTTCCTTCACAGAATAATTTTTTTTTTCTCATAATTTTCTCCCTCAATTACAATTTATATCTCATAGTTCTGCCATTTTTTTCTTAAAATTGTGAGTTTATATTTTATAAACTTGAAATTCAAAACTTTTCTTCTCAGTATTGTATGTCATATGTCTCAAGTTTATATCTTGCAGTTATTTTGACTATCATTCACAGTTGAATCTCAGAATTCACTAGTCACTGAGGAAAAGATGTCAGAGTTGTGAGAGAAAGTCATAATTATATATTATATTAATATTTGTATATAATTTTTAAAAGATTATTTATTTATTTATTTTTATTCTATGGCAGAAACAAGCTTCCATAGTTTTTTTTTGTGTGTGTGTGTTTGAGTATGGCATTGGTAAGTGGGTGATGGATTGAAGTTTAATATATGCAGATATTTAGTTATGCACATACAGACCATTATTGGACTTTTGGATTGCAGGTCAAAACATGTGTATTCTGAAAAGGTGGCGACTAAAGCTCAAGAGGGAGAGTTATAACACATACATGGTAAAGACAATGGTAACTATGCAACTTTCTCTTTAATGTGTTACAAAGTTGAAGGTTTCTCCTGCGTTCTACTTGTTGCCTCACTATGAATGGACGGCCAAAGTTCTTGAACGCCGTACAAGCATCACTGTGGGTTATATTTTGTGATGGATGGGTTTCATAAGTTCTTCTCGTGACCATGAATTTAGCATATCCATACATGCTTAGGGCTGTTGATGAGTAAAGGATCAACATGAGTATGAGAATCTATGAGTATGCATGAGTACCTTCTAGACACTTTATCTTTTACCTGAGCCTGATTACTGGGACCTTAAAAATATCTTTGTTCTTTCTTGTGTTGATCACAGTAAAAGCATTCTGTCATTTTTTTGTAAATGACTCATTATATCATATTCTTTTCCAGGGCTAGTTGAAAGCTTTCATGAAGAAAATCCAAGTGAATCCAACTGCAAATATTTATCATTTATCCAAGCGCTTGCCAGCAGCCGTCAAGAGCCTGAGTGATTTCTCACAGCATAATCAGACATTTTATTTTGAAAAACCAAACTCACTCTGACTACCCATTTCTAGCAGTAGCTAACTTTACCCCATTCTGCATTCTCATGATCTGAAACATGCGTCTTCACAGGAGATAGTTTCATTTCACTTTTATAAAGTGTTTGATTGTCCTTTCTAATTTTTGAAGCACTGTTGCACTTATCACTCTTAATTTAAAGATGCACTGAATCTCCTTTATCTCACCAATTTTGTTGAGGGTTGCATTTAACAAAGATTGAGGCTTTGTTTTGGGTTGTCCAATTTTCTCACTTTTCCTTTTATTTGGATAAAATACCAATTGAGTTAAAGGGATACTCCACTTTTTTTGGAAATAGGCTCATTTTCCAACTCCCCCAGAGTTAAACTGTTGAGTTTTATCGTTTTTGAATCCATTCAGCCAATCTCCGGTTCTGGCGGAACCACTTTTAGCATAGCTCAGCATACATCATTGAAGTGCACAAGACCATTAGCATTTCTTAAAAAAAAATAATAATTGGCAAAGTGGATTACAACAAGCATTACAGACTCAAGTTTTAAATATTTTTCCTATTTAAAACTTGACTCTTCTGTAGTTAAATCATGCATTAAGACTGATGGAAAATGCAGTTGCGATTTTCTAGGCTGATATGTAGGGACCTATACTCTCATTCCTGTGTAATAATCAAGAAACTTTACTGCCCTACCATGAGTGCAACAGGCGGATGACTACACAAACCTAGTCCCGGTCACGTTGGAAGCTGGGCACTATTTTCAGGCGCTGCGTCATAACATTACGCCTGCTGCACTCATGGTACGGCAGTGAAGTTTCCTGATTATTACGCCGGAATGAGAGTATAGTTCCTAGTCATATCAGCCTATAAAATCACAACTTTACATTTTCCGTCGGTCTTAATGCATGATGTAACCACAGAAGAGTCAAGTTTTAAATAGGAAACATATCGAAACACTTTGGTCTTGTGCACTTCAATGATGTATGCTGAGCTATGCTAAAAGTGATACCGCCAGAACCGGAGATCGGCTGAATAGATTCAAAAACGGTAAAACTCAACAGTTTAACTCTGGGGGAGTTGGAAAATGAGCCTATTTCTAAAAAAAAGTGGAGTATCCCTTTAACCTTCTAGTAAATGTATTGCAGAGTGTGATTTGCAGATTTTAAATTGAAAAGTTTGTTTAATCTTGCTGAAGTTCTTGGTGTCTCTTCATTCTCTTTGGGTTTTTGTTCAATGTTGTGCAGAATCTGGTTCAATTCTTTACAAATGCTTTGCTATGAGTCTCAATTACAGACTCGGATCTAGTGAAGATAAAAAGAGATTTCTGCAATGTTAAATGCCATTTTATTTTATCTATGTGGTATCAGGCATTATTTTCTACTATGTCTGATGTAAAATTAGTAAAATAGCAATTCAGTTTCAACAACTTGTAGAATTATTTCTCCCAAAGGCTGTATATATATATTAGGCTGTTTAACTAGTGGTTTTCTGCTTTTAATTTGAAAGATTTTATTGTAGCGAGTGGCTCTTGTAATGCATTTAAACCATGGTTCTGCTTAATTTGTCATTTTAAACTAGGAATACATTCGCTTGGTCATTTCATATTACAATTGCTGTAATACAACATACGCAAATCTAAATCTGTATCCTGTGTCTTACAATTAGCTTTTCACTGAGCTGTCTGGATGGTCTCAAAATAAAAGCTCCACAATCAAAACAGAAGACCTGGATTGAACTTTATTTCAACTTAAAGTCATAGCCAGGTACAAATGATCAAGAGCAAATGCCTTAATTGACAAGACGTTCCTTTAATTTATTAGATTTAGCAAAATGTCTGTTTTGTGAAAAATGTGTAATGTTGTAAAATTCCATTTTGCATGACCAGTTGCTTTATGGATGTTTTATATTGAAAAATTCAGCAAGCGTTACAGACTCAAGCATTAAAAATCAGCTGCTTTCTGTATTTTACATTGCTGTCAATAAACATTCACATCTTCAACATATTCAATGTTTTGTAGTAGTTTAATCATTCATCTAGAGACAGAAATGGGCATAACATGGTGACACGCACCACACTGATAGTAAATCTGGTGAAGAAAACGGCATGTTCCAGAGATATTAGTTCAAATGTGCAATGTCTGTTTTATGACAGTACGCAACAAAACACGTAAAATAAGTGTTACACTAAACAGTCCCACTGGATTTTGAGCTTATTAAATAGTCACTTCAGTTAAATTTACATCCAGTTACACTGGATACAGCAAAATTCTGATATGGTATATTGCATTAATCTTTTATAAAACTTTACATTTTTAATTTTTTTATTCAATTTTAGTCATGTTATATATTTCAAACATGGTGTCCATTGAAAATACATGAATATTGGGTACTTGTTGCATTTTTATTAGTCAGTCTATGGCCAATAAAACAATTTAGCTTAATGGCTTGTTTTAATGATTTGGCGCTTTCCATTGTCCAAACTGTAAGTGGTTCATCTTAGGCACTTAACCCATTCAGACCCTGTGTCCATTACAATGGATGTCACATGTCAGCACACTTTTTTAACTTCTGGAGCATTTCACAGTGGACAAAACGGTCAATATCTCAGGACAGGGGTACCCCTGTCGTTGCCATTATAAATATCTCAATATCTCAGCTCTGGAAGGGTCTAGAGACTCCATTTTTGCACTCAGGTCTAAGTCTCATGACCCTCTATCAGAATCCAGAGTTTTGAGAAGATTGGGGAAACTTAATTTTTCGCCCAAAAAAAAAAACCGTAAGGGGTACCACTGTCGTTTTTTTTTTCGGGTCGAATTTTTGAGTTTCGATATCTCAGCTCGGGAAGGGTCTAGAGCCTCCATTTTAGCACTCAGGTTTAAGTCTCATGACCCTCTATCAGAATCCAGAGTTTTGAGAAGATTGGGGAAACTTAATTTTTCGCCCCCCAAAAAAAAAACGTAAGGGGTAACACTGTCGTTTTTTTTTTTCGGGTCGAATTTTTGAGTTTCGATATCTCAGCTCTGGAAGGGTCTAGAGCCTCCATATTTGCACTCAGGTTTAAGTCTCATGGCCCTCTATCAGAATCCAGAGTTTTGAGAAGATTGGAAAAACTTCATTATTCATACCAAAAAAAAAAACAAAAAACGAAAGGGGTACGTACCACTGTCGTTTTTTTGGGGGGGTCAACATTTTGAATTTCTCTGATCTTCTTGAAACTCTGGATTCTGATAGAGGGCCATGGGACTTAGACCTGAGTGCAAAAATGGAGGCTTTAGACCCTTTGTTTTATGGTATTTGATCTATCCTAGTTATAAATCATTTACCTTCTACCTTATTTTGTTTATTCTCAGGTAAGGTAAAGATGGTCAAATTCTACATTAGATATTAAGTACACAAATTCATACTTACACCCCAGTAGAAAGACCCCTCCGTGGCTAAGTTCTTTACTGCAAGTAGAGACTCTTGGCAGGCAAATTTCTTTTATCTATTATTTGTATTTTTATTGTATAGAGTTTTCCAAAGTTTTTCTATCAGACAGTTTAACAAAATTAGTTCAATAAATGCAGTTCACAAGTTACACCAGCAGGTGTCAGGCTTGGATCATCAAACAATGGAGAGTCTGGTCCAGTTTCCAGAGTCAAACCCCATACATTTCAATGTACGTTTTATAATATATTTACATGTCACACCTCTCTCTTACATAATCAAGTCATATGCACAATCTTAATATATTTACATGTCACACCTCTCTCTTACATAATCAAGTCATATGCACAATCTTAATATATTTACATGTCACACCTCTCTCTTACATAATCAAGTCATATGCACAATCTGTCCAATCCTAGTCCTGGATCCAAGTTTAACTCTTTTAATCACTTCAACAATCTCCTATAAAAGGCCTTCTTTATCTTGATCTTCCTTCTCCTCGCATGGTTTCTCAGCCTCCTTCTCCTTTTAGTCTAGAACACAACATTAAGGTAATACATTTTCCCTTTACTACTCACATGCATAATACTGGTTACATTGTATTAATAAAGTATTTTGTTACAATACATTTGTGTCTTTCTTATAAAACCAATAAACATTTGTTACAATATGTTTCTGTGTCTTTCTTATAAAACCAATAAACATTTGTTACAATATGTTTCTGTGTCTTTCTTATAAACAGTCTTGTGTTATACAGTTTTTATACGTAAACTATCTATAATGCCTTTACATATGGTTTTTATAAAAGCTGTTCTACATGAAAGACTGTTTATAAAGTCTTTACTAGCAGTTTACATATTTTTTCATATAAAAGCTGTTTTACATAAAAGACTGTTTATGAAGTTTTACAAGCAGTTTACATATGGTTATCATAAAATAAATTGCATCATTTTACACAACACCTTCCAGAGCTGAGATATTGAGATCCCAGGTAGCATTTTATGCCATTATAAATTTCAATATCTCAGCTCTGGAAGGGTCTAGAGCCTCCATTTTTGCACTCAGGTCTAAGTCTCATGGCCCTCTATCAGAATCCAGAGTTTTGGGAAGATTGGAGAAACTTAATTTTTCGCCGAAAAAAAAAAAACGTAAGGGGTACCACTGTCGTTTTTTTTTTCGGGCCGAATTTTTGAGTTTCGATATCTCAGCTCTGGAAGGGGCTAGAGCCTCCATTTTTGCACTCAGGTCTAAGTCTCATGGCCCTCTATCAGAATCCAGAGTTTTGGAAGATTGGAGAAACTTAATTTTTCGCCGAAAAAAAAAAACGTAAGGGGTACCACTGTCGTTTTTTTTTCGGGCCGAATTTTTGAGTTTCGATATCTCAGCTCTGGAAGGGGCTAGAGCCTCCATTTTTGCACTCAGGTCTAAGTCTCATGGCCCTCTATCAGATTTGGGAAGATTGGAGAAACTTAATTTTTCGCCCAAAAAAAAAAAACGTAAGGGGTACCACTGTCGTTTTTTTTTCGGGCCGAATTTTTGAGTTTCGATATCTCAGCTCTGGAAGGGGCTAGA